AGTCCAAACTCGGTTGGGGCCACTTTTCTACCGTTTGGCTGGCCTGGGACACTCTCAATTCGGTGCCTCCATTTTTCAACACTGTTCTGTTGTTTTTTCGTCTTATTATTGCCTACATTATACGTTGTTGATGTTTTTGGACTTCGGTCACTGACTATGTTGAATTGTTAGTTCCTCGTTTTTTGGTAACTCCGTTGCGTTTAGTTGGTTTCCTGTTTTCATTTTCAGATGGTATTTTTCGAGTAATGGTTATGAGATGTTACATTTTTGTGTTCCAGTTTCTTGTTTTTAGTTGCAAGGGAAATGAGAACAAAATTCATAAAATCTTGAACATAGGGAGCTAAATGAAAATTATGCAACACTATTTGTTAGGAGTTCCCATAGCTGGGTGAAGCGGTGAAAGGGAAAAGGACCATCATTGTGTCGGAGTAGTGAAAGCTACCGGGGGCTGCGGATTTTAAAGGATGTGATAATGTTAGGAGTTGGAGTAGAATAAAAGACTTAATATGGTACTGCAGCCCTTGAGACTCTCCTACTTAATAGACTAGGATTTTAGGTTGAGTTTTCTTTTTGTGCTTTAAGTCTTGACGCTTTTTTTTTTTAGAGTTTAATTTCTACTACAGTCAGTCGGTATAAAATTTTATACTCTTAACTAATCAGAAGACCCGATATGTATAACTTTATAGGTAGTTTCTGAATAATTCAACAAACTTACTATATGGGATAAGTTGTTATTGGATGCCTTTATGCTGTCTGTGCATGGACTATTTACTCGTTTTTATCAGTAAAATCATGTGAGCTGAAAATGAAAAAGTGACAAATTAACAAACCAAACATCCACCATGATTCACTTGTCACTGTTTGAAAATTTTAAACTTGGGAGTTTGAACTCTCTTACTGATAGGAAATGTTTTTGTATGTAGCGTTTTGTAGCCCTTAAAATTCAGAAGAGTGCGCAACATTACACTGAAGCTGCAATGGATGAAATAAAGATTCTCAAACAAATAGCTGAGGGGGACCTGGATGATAAGAAATGTGTTGTGAAGCTTTTGGATCATTTTAAGCATTTGGGGCCAAATGGACAGCATGTTTGTATGGTTTTTGAATTCCTGGGTGACAATCTTCTCACCCTTATAAAATATACTGATTATCGCGGGGTTCCTCTCCACATGGTTAAAGAAATATGTTTTCATATTTTGGTGGGCTTAGATTACTTGCATCGTGAGCTTTCTGTTATACACACTGATTTGAAGCCAGAAAATGTGTTGCTTCTGTCACTGATAAATCCATCTAAAGATCCTAGGAAATCAGGTGCTCCACTCGTCCTTCTGAATACCAGGGATAAGACTGCGTCTAATAATGGGACTCACCAAGACAATAAAATTCTGAATGGAGATCCACTGAAGAACCAGAAAAAGAAAATGCAGAGGAAGGCTAAGGTAGCTCAAGGCTTTGTTGGGAAGGAAACTTCAGAGGAAGCTGATGATTATAAAGGACCTGAGCATGAAGATTGTGGCAATGATGTAAAATCAAGTGTAGAATCTATTGAAGATAAACCTGATAGTTCTTTGAGTAAAGATGAATCAACAAAGACTTTTGAAAAGGATGTTTCACAAGGAAGTCATAAGAGTGGCAGCCGTTCCATGAAAAAGAAGTTGCTGGCAGCTGTTGATCTTAGGTGCAAGCTGGTTGATTTTGGTAGTGCTTGTTGGACTTACAAACAATTCACAAATGATATTCAGACAAGGCAATATCGGTGTCCTGAGGTTCTTCTTGGATTCAAATACTCAACCCCAGCAGATTTATGGTCCTTTGCTTGCATTTGCTTTGAGCTTGCCACTGGTGATGTTCTTTTTGATCCCCACAGTGGTGACAACTATGATAGAGATGAGGTAACTGTACTTTTTTACTATCATGTATTACCATCATGCTTACAACTATTATGAACTTGTCTTTTATCGAGTGTTTTCGTAACAGTGTAGAAGTTCTCTGTCCTCAACTTTTTGATTTGGTTGCTATGCTAACACAATTCAATTTTGTACCTTTTCATGCACTTGTTGCATGCTGGTGAATGCAGGAGAGCATACTTCTTCCGACTTTAAAATAAGTATATGTGTTTTCTAAAGGAAAAAGGAAACTTTTATCTTTTGGAAATAATTATATGCTGTGAGAAGGCTGGGTATAAGATACTTCTTTCTAATAGAAATTTAAAAGTTATGTTGCTTAAAAGCCTTGCTTAAACTATAGAATTTGTAATTTCTAATTTGACAATGGGAAAATTATTATGGGCCCGGGGAATGGGAACAAAAATACAAAAGGACGTGCCCATTGCAGTTGAATAGCATTTTCCCTCCTAAATGGGTTATTTCTCTTCTGCTTCATGCTTGTGTCTTTCATTTATATCAGCATTCTTTGGATTCAATTTGTATTTGAAGATTAAGAAAATATTCATTGGGGACATTGCTAACTTTGTAAGGAGAATACTTTAAGTTAAATAGTGATTTCTTTCGGACTTGGGAAATTTTACCCCTTTGTATTTGTTTTACTATCTGAAGAATGAAATAGAGGCTTTAGCTTTCAGTGTGTGAAGTTATGCTACTGCTTCCATGTCATTAGTTGGAAATTTTACGTTTCTTTTTGGAAAGTTGCTTCAGTCCATAGCATTTGAAATCATTAATTGGCATACTCTCAACTTTGATTATGTTTTGCTGTTACACTGCTGGTTAGAATTGAGGCTTCATTATTCTTCTCTGTTTGATTCTAATTAATGAAATTGTTAAACAAATTTTGGGAAAAAAAGAAGATACATTGAAATCACTGGAACTCTAGGCGGTGTTGTATAAAAATTATATATTTTTCCTTGCTTTATACATACTGGAAATTTGGACATCTATTCTTGTGGAAAACCCTGTTTGAAAACAACGCTGTCTACCTAAATTTGAACTTCAATCAAAGGATTGTTTTGGTGATATTTAGAGGCTTGTTTACAGGACCATCTGGCATTGATGATGGAGCTTGTTGGGAAGATGCCTCCGAAGGTATGGATGTTATCTCGTCTGCAGGAAATTTTGAAGTTTATTGGTACCGTCTTTAAATAATTATATTAAATAATCAATATTCAAATTTAAACTCCATTTCAGACTGTATTTCATTTTGAAAATTGGTCAATGTTGATATTTCATCTGTGCTCAAATACAAAATTTGGGTAAATATTTCCTTCAGATTGCACTTGGTGGCCGCTATTCTCGAGAATTTTTCAATAGACATGGTGACTTACGGCACATCAGCAATTTAAGATTCTGGCCAATGGATAAGGTGCTGATGGACAAGTATAATTTCAGTGAGCAAGACACAAAGGACATGGTTGACTTCCTTGTTCCAATACTTGATTTCGTCCCAGAAAAGAGACCAACAGCTGCTCAGTGCCTTAGCCATCCATGGATGAGTGCAGGTCCTCGTACTCTTCAGCCCTCAATAACTACTGTTAAATCTGATGCCATCAATGAGGAAATGTCTGAAAGAAGGAAGAGGGAAGCTTCTGAGGAAGAGGCAGTGGAAATTGGTTTGAGGAATATAGCCATTAAAGGAACTTCTGAGCTCCTAAAAGACTCCCAACCTCTAAAACCATCCAAATAGATACAAATTAACAATTCTTGGGGGTATATGCAACCTGTTCTGTTTCCTTGGATAAGTTTTGCTCGTCTTTTGAGCTTGATATCCATGGAATTGTTGCACGGGGCATTATATGCAATGCAGGTCAGACGAGGAGCTTCTGACTTGAGAAGCTCATCCCCCGGCAAAGACGGCTGGATTTCTGCTGTATTGTTGTAACCTAACTTTTTTCGCCTTTACTGGCATTACAGGTGTAGCTTCAAATTCAATGGATCAAGTGTGCTTAGTTATATAAACTATGATTTTATTGGTGCTTGGAAATTCCCCCTATAATATTAGAGTTGTCTTTCAGAACCGCAACACTTATTCGGGGGGAGGGGGGTTCCAATTGTACATTTTAAATAGTTGATCCTTGATTTGTCTGCATCAGACTTTGTTGCATGTTTAGTTTGTGGGAAATTTAACTTTCGTTACTCTCTATTGTATATAAAGACAGAGACTGAGTATTTTCCTGGATTTGAATTACTACGTCTATCTTAAGTCGCAAATTTTTAGAAGATCATGGATTGCCACAGCTATGGCCCTTGGTAGAGACAGGGTGCCACACCGCTATAAATAAAATGGTACTCTATGAACTTTGTTAGTCCACAAAATAGAGTTTAACAAACTTGTTAATCCATTAACGTTGTTATTTTCGTCTTCCGAATACACCCTGCTTAGGTGGGTACGAATATTGCAAAAGTAAATGAAATGGTTCCTGAATTGTTCGTGTCAGGCTATTTTTCCTATAGATTTCCATTGCATGTATTTAATCACAACTCCATCATTGATTTTTGAATCAAGTGTTATAATTTTACATTATCTTTCAAAGTGCACCCCTTCACTAATTCAAATTCATAGATTAGCATAAATAGAGAAATTTATAGCATGGAGAACAAATAGATTGGTATTACAACTATGTTATTTAAGCAATGTGACGGGGAATGAAGAGGGAAGAAATAAAACCCTAGGGTATTCATCTAGGTGTGGAATACAATTTTTACTCAAATGAGATACTGCTAGAGTCTATTTATGACTACCAGGGTACAAAATAAAATCCCTAAACGTAACATAAAGATAACCAAATGTAAAAGGTAATTCAAATTAATTATCCTAAATTTAAATAAAATCCCCAAATATACAATCAAAATTAAAATGCTAAATATACCTAATTGGATCAATGCAGCGGTGATTTTACTATGCACTTTGAATTGGGAAATTTCTCACAGCAAAGAAATAGATATGTGAATATAAACTCAATCTAAGAAAATTCTGTGTGCAACTTGTCAAAAGAAGGGAACTTCCAGATGTCAGATGCCACCTCAATACCCATTAATCATGTACTCTCATCATGTAAACTCTTCAACAAGAGGCTGATAGAACATTTTGTATGCCTCCATCACTTCAAGATACCACATAGCCTCTCGGTCAGGAGATGATGAAAGATCAACAATCTTGTGAATCTGGTACAATTATCAGTTTAAATTAGACTACTTTGCCGTACAATCCCTTTATTATTTCCACTACAGAGAGCAATATTATGATGCCTTCTATAATTAATTGCCTTTAACATGGGAAGTTTAGGTGCCTTCAATATCATGCGGACATAGATTGTGAAGATAACCACATAAGATAAATTGTGAAGACACTCCAGACAGTCATTTTAAGAGTGTTATTCATTGGGTGAAATCCCACGTAAGTTAACTCGAGCCCATTCTTTAGGAATTCGGTGCAACATCATGTGTTTTCGTTTCCAGTAAATATTCAATTTTTCAGATCAGTAATTCACATTAGCCTCTAAGACCCAACTTTTTGCTTGACTCACCGATGTAAAATTTTAATTAGAGAATAACCCTAAATAAAAATAAAAATTATACCACACTAACTTTAGAGTTTTGTTCCTTTCTTTATATGTAAGACCAGTATCAGATTTCACACCCAATAACAAACGGTGATAAAATGAGTGCCTAAAGAGAGCCGTTTAGAATTGAACATTGGTAAGAACAAGTTCAGCTTGTTTCATGTTTGTTCAGATAATCGTCGCACCCTTCTCAGAAGCATGTCTAGAATAAAATATACGAAGATGTGGTGTTCCCTACAGGTATCCTTACAGAAAAATACGTCTAGAACGGTTATCCACTATTCTAGGCATGCAGATGTGGTGTTCCCTAAACTCTAGCAGCAAACCAACCACCGAATAAATATTGTTTCCCACAACATCCACCAAACCTGATTGCAATAAAGCCAGCCATATAGAAGTGCTCCCCTCAGACAGAAATTGAAAATCACCAGAACAAACTCCGTTACTTAATTTGTGGGAGAGAAAATCCATGCAAGTTTGAATGGCAATGGATGCTAGTTTTGAGATTAATTCATTCATTTTGAAAATGCCTCTAACTCAGATCAATTTAGAAACACGTCTCATTATTATTACCTTGATCATGGGAAGTTCTCCCACACGTGCAACGTACCCTCCAACCACCATTACATACATCCCTGACAAAGTACATAAATTAAAATATAGAATGAGCTATATTTGAAGACATAGATCAAGTAGAAAATTTTGAGAAAACTCCACGTTTAATTATTATAATTTGGTTTTAAATTTAATTCAATCCTAAAAAAATCTATAAGGAAGGGTTGTTCCCTACTAATATACCACAAGGACAAGGCATTTCAAGCCTGAAATTCTCACCTTGAGGACTAGACAATAGCAAGTGACCCAACAATATTCCTTAGGATGAACTATGATTATATGTTACAATTTGCGTTTGAGTTTAATTTTAGTCGTACAAAACGGTTGTAGAATGTTTTGCTTCACAAATTAAACTCGAGATGTCCTTGCTTTACGCGTCAAGAACATGTGTCAAATTAAAATAACGAAAAGTGGAATAATCATCATGTTACAAGCCGTTTTTATTTACACGAGTAAAAACGAGTTAGACTCTACAAATTCCAAGATTAAATGATCGAATACAGTGGAGGCGGAATTTACCGAGTTTCCACTGACGGTGGCGAAACTCGCCGGTGAGAGAGAGCTCGATGAGGCCCGTCCCGTCGTCGAGAAGCAGAGAGCCGGTGTCGGAGGCGGAGACAAGAACGCCCTGAGAAATTAAGCGAAAATGAAGATGATGAAAACGATGGCGTTTATCGAATAGGAATGGAGAGGGAAGTTGAAACCTGCAACCAAGCGCGCTGGAAGAGGAGGCCACCAAGCGCAAAGCTGTTTTGCGAGGGTACTTCTCCAGCCTGCTTCAGCTGCGAGCATAAAAGCTTCAATGCTGCCAAGCTATAGTCCATTAACCCTTCTCTTCTTTGCGTCTCTAGCGAAAGTTTGCTTATAACGAGTTAAAGGTGTGCACCACCGATACATATAATCAACTTTTCAATTTTTAATATTAAAAATCACAAGTTTTTATACTTGAAATAAGTGACTATTTAATATGCCTTCAATGTAACTTTTCACATTATTTTCAATTGTGTTTGGTCAAAAACTTGAATTTTATTGACTTCCAATTTGGGGTAAACCATTTCCCAATTTCATACTCCACAGTCTACACTCCTCAGAGTTTCCCATACAACTTAGGAATATAAAAGCACACATTGATATATGCAATTTAACATATAAAATATCCTTTTTAGTCTTTTACATAAGCCATCTTAATACAACACCAGCAACCACAAGGGTAGAAAATCCAGAGTATGAACCGTGAAGCGTGAAGTGTTTGATTAGGATATGAGAGAGATGCCAGCAGCAATCAAATTATCCGCCAAAAGCTTGTTAGCAGCCTCTGAGGGATGAAAACCATCCCAGAACACATACTCAGATGCATTGGCACATGTTCCTATGGACTTCCTATTGCACAATATTGATGTCTCTATCAACCCCGTTCCACAACATGCCCTCCTTGCTTCAACAAATCCTGTGACAACACAATGCATTAGATGATTAGTTCACCAGTCAGAGCATACTTAGATCAGATTATTAGTTCTGAAGTACTTTGTGTATTGGTTCAATAGTGATCTATGTTGATGATCATTTGATGTTTCATGCAAACTTTTACTAAAAGCATCCAAGGAGCTATAGCTAAATTTTATCTATTTAGATTTAGTACCATTTTCAAAAGTCTTGGTGACAATTAACATTCCTGGTTCATAATCCATTAGAGATTAGTTCACTAGTCATTAGTCAGATCAGAGAATAACTAGATTGGACAAAACATGAATGCTGTTTCTCAAGCACCTTTTTTTAATTTGAATCGGATTTGGAGTTTCAGTTCAGTAACTTATATATCGTTGTTTGATGTGTCCTAATTAGATGTTGTACCATTTTCAGAAGGCTTCGTGACCAAGTCATAGAGAGGTTGGTAGATATCAAAGACGACCAAATTGAGGCCTGGAAGCATATTTTGCAAGTTACGAGATGTTGTGTTGAGCTTTTCATTGAAGTTAATTGCATGACTGTTTAAACTGGCCACACATTCGTTGCTATGAAAACCAAAGAGAGTGATGGCTCCAGGTAAGCAACCTATTGGAGGTAATGATGTCACACCAATCCTCCTTGCTCCCAGTGCATGTAGACACTGATAAAGGCATGATTACAAATGAAAATATAATCAGCAAAATTGAATAACTTTAGCTTTTGTTTTTGGTAAGTTTTAATCAATGGCATTATAGGAAAAGTTATAAAGGTTGAGAGAAATGCATGCCTGGATGAAATTGGAATAGCTCCGCAAGAGCGTGTCTGAGAATTGATCGATTGTATAAAACTTGTTAAGCAAAGGATTTATGTAATAGTTCTGAACAAAATCACTGGTCCCAGCACTGACAAGATATATAGCATCAGATATAATTGATGAAGCACTTGATTGCCCTGCCGCTTCCACTAATTTGTTCTGGCACTCCTTGTAGTATTCCAGCTGCTGGCTCAATGGAATTGCATTCTACATTCATGAGAACACACAACAGCACTCATCAATTATGATGTTATACAAAGAAGAAGATAAAAACAATGAGAGTTTGAGTCTAAGATTCTAAATATATTTACATATAGTTTGGCTGTGGATTCATAGTAACCAGAAGCAGCTGAGGCAAAGTTGGCACCATTCAAGAGGTTATTTCCTTTGGTGTTTAAGTTGAGGTAAGCTGGTGGATAAGAGGTAAATCCAAGGACTTCAGCTGTAGTGAATGAATTGATGAAACAAAGATCAAAAATCCATGTTCAAAATATGAGTGATAGGGACTTCAGGGAAAAGATTTTTAGTTATATGGAATTGAGGAAAAAGAAAATGTACCAGTGAAGTCTGTGGCAAGTTTTCCATTGCAGAACCTTCCTGTTGCCTGGTGATTCTCAAAGTCTCTTCCATAGGGAGGAAAGTTTGCTTTAATAACAGTAATTTGGTTATTATTATTGCCCACATCAACAACTGAGTCCCCAAATATGAACAATGCAGGGACAAGTGGCTGCCCATTGGTCACATTGAGCAACACAGCAAGAAGAAAAGAAGCCAAGAAAGACCTTTGATACCCCATACTTTTCAATTCCCCTTCAGCAAAGAGCTTCTTGTTGTTCATGCAAAAAGACACAACAGACTGTGGACTCTGAAGATGGGTTGTAGTTGTGGGAACTGACAATCTGACTCTAGCCTTTTGCATTGAATCTGGTGCACACAGTCTAGGTTTGGAAAGGCTGCACTCCCAATAATTTCTTTAATGCTCCACTTAAGTACGGGTACTGAATAACACAAGTCAACATAGAAAACAAAACACTGTATCTGTCAGCTGTTTCCTGTAACTTCAAAATCACTATTTGCATTATTAGTTTGAAGAATTTGGAAAAGAGGTTGCATGCTTTGATAAGGCTACCAAAATTTACTGTTGAGATGGAATTACTTAGGTGGCAACATGGTGCATTAAACTACCTTAGCTGTATCCTCATAATATCACTCAATTCAAGGAAAAGTTAATTCAGTCTCAATTCTCAAATGAAACCATAAACATGTCTTGATCTAATACTTACTATGATAGAATCAAAGAGAGCCATAAGAAGTGAGATCACAGTTAGGCTTGAAGCTGAGGCATTCTTCAGCATATATACTCAAACCAAAAACATGACAGAATAGTATAATGGTAATTAATAATGGATGTTTGTTAGTACACTTACCAGTAAGTACAAGAGTTATACTATTGACACACGATGTCTTCAACTGTCCAAGGATCCTAAAAACTTCCTATTTTTCAACCATATCAAATGTATACAACATGAGTTCAACTATAAAGAAAAGGAGAAGGTAAAGAAATTAGAGAATAGAAAAAGAGGCAGAAGTAACTTGTATTTGGACATATTAATGCGGTTGGTGACCACTTAGTTTTGTATTGCGTGCCTTATTTATTCAAGTGGCAGCACCACTTTGATCACAACCTTTATGTGTCTTTTCCTCACTTCACCTTTCTGTTGGCTTAATTGCTTCCCTTAAGCCGTGAACTGGGGGGTTCAACACGTCAAGGGTTCTGCTGCAATTTTTTTTTTATTTTTTCTAAAAACTCTATCCCCAGTTTATGTATTTTTTATTTTATTTTAACTTTGACCGTAATATGTGTAGTGAAAGATTCATTAATACATTGTTGTACAGTGGATATATTTTTTATATGTTTTATTTTTTAAATCATTTTTAATTAGTAATAATAAATTGAGTTTAACTTATATATTTACTCTGATTTTGAATTTTTAGTTAATTTGATATGTGTTAATTTTTTTTGTCGTAACCTTTTTTATAAATATTATTTTTGGTTGATTTGGATTGAATTCTACAAGATTATCAAATTATCAAATGAATATATGATTAGTTGGATTTGAAGTTATGTATTATTTTTTATGATTTTTAAAAGTTAAATCAGATTTCTTAAATTTTTTGTAAAGAACCCTCTGTGTATTATCTTTGGTAATTAAATTTATGAACACATTTAAAATCATATTTATTTTAGATGGAAAGTCTTTATGTAAATTAGAAGTGATCAAAACTCATATAAAAAAATAATTTGTTTAATTTTTTAATTTAAAAAATGTTTCTTCATTTTTTTTTCTCTTCTTCTCTTATATTCGTTATGACTTTTCTATTTTTTTTTATCTGAATTATTTCATCATTTTCACTTTGCAAAGATAAATTTTGAGGTTTAATTCACATAATCAAGATCAAACAAGTTAAATTGAACTCTATACCGCTTCTTTCGAGTTTATTTTTCTCATCTCTAATATTAATTTTGCATCATTTAATATCAATTTAAAATGCTGGTTAAAAAAATTAAAGGAATCAATCTTGATTTAATAATTAGAAATGAATTAAATTGAATTATATGATAATATAATTGTTTGTTGATTGAGAGTGGATTTTTTTTTTACTTTTTTTACTTCTTCTTTTTTGTGGTTAAGTGTTGTTTTTTTATTTATTTTACAATTCTTATTTAACATTTTCAAAACCTCACATTTAATTTTTATGAAAAGATATCAAGAGTTGAATATATTTGAACGTGTATCTCAGAATTATAATCTTCAAACCTCTCAATTTATTCAACAAATTTAATATCTTTAATTTCATAAAATCAATGATGCAGATCATATTCTTGATTGAAAAATAATAGTTAATCACTTATGTCATTACAGTAGAAAATTTACTTACAACCTGATATATTTTACAATAACAATAATAATCAAAATAAGCTTTAATTACTTTAAATCTAAATTAAAAAAATGAACTTATGAAATTTTCTCTACTTATGTACTAAGTTTTAATAATTTCAAAACTTTCTTTCATATTTACACCACTATCCACCGTGATGATTTTTTTTTTTTTAGTTATACTTTAATTATTACATGAGCAATCATCAAAACTACACGCGCAATGTTCATATTGTTGACCCTGATGGATGATAAGGAGAAATGATAAAATATTTTTGTTCCTTGTAAAACATGTACAACGTAGATTTAATCCTCTGTGCTCCAATTTTAAACTATAATATAATTCTTTTTTCTTGATATTCTTCAAAATATTCTAAGTGGTTTCTTGTGCTTTTGGTAATTTGAGTGTTGATATTGGATATTAATTTATAGTGTTAGCATTTTTATTGGGAAAAGAAATATTTGTCTTTTTTAAAAAAGAAAATTAGTTTTAATCCGTATAATTTTAAATTGATGAATTAGTTATATTTTTTTTAATATATAAATTCAGTTATTTTTAAAAAATTTATGATAGTAAACAACTGTCACTAAATATTAAATTTAAGCTAAAAATAATTAAAATTAC